TATCTGGGGATGTTTAGATATTTGTACTGAAAAAAAAGTCAAAAACACTAATTAAGAATATCATTTTGCAGTCTATAAAGCGGTGGCATACAATTTCACTCTATAAAAGGCAAAAATTGCATTACACTGCAAGGTAGTGAGGTTGTGACTCAATGTAATTTTCCATGAACTGATAAGTTTGCAACAATGTAGGAGTGTATTACTCTGAGGTAGCGTGGATCTATAAATGAGTCAGAGCATATTACGCTGTTAAATAAGACTGTGCATTGTCTGTTACTGTGTGCAATCTACTCATTTGTGATATGGCTTTCATTTTTGACAGTGCACTCTGCAGTTCTATTGATTGGTGAGATTTCTTCCCGTCTTACATATGTAACACTGGATGCTGTCTCCTTCGGTGCAAAAAATCTGTTCATGTATACATCCATCTTTTTAATTCCTTAGGGACCTGTTACAGACCTCTCCTTCTTATTACTCTCCTACTCCTCCTTTTCTCCCTCTTCTCCTCTGTCACACTCTCTATTTCACCCCTCCCCCAATGCAAAAACATTTGCTCATTGAAGTAGAGCGAGTGAGGAACATAAAAGAGCTGAATAAAGAGCTGGTGTGCATGGGTAACTGTCACATGCCTGTTGTTTGAGTAGAAAGACATTTCATGCACCTGAATTCTTGTACAATGTGTATCTGAAACGCATGTTTGTGTGTTAGGAACAAGGATGTTTTTTTCTGCTGACAACATCAGCTTGTAATAATAATAAGAACCCCCAGGTTCCATTAATCCAACAAACCTGACATATAAACACACACACACGCTCTCTCACAACAAATCGCACATGTACACAGATAAATGGAGCCAGTGTTGCTCACCGATCGCCACCATGGGAGAACTGGATGCTGTCGACTTTATCCTGAGGAAAAAGATGCAGTCATTAAAAAACATGAGGGGAAACCTCAAAATAATAATGAATTCCTGCAATAGTGAATACAGTAAAGAGAATAAAAATGAGGTGCTTTAAAACAATACATTGATACACACACAATTAAAAAAAATACTAAGAATGTTTTTAGGTTGAAGCTATTATATACACTAGTGCTTTCAATCAATCAAAGATGATTATTTATATATTATAATTAACAAATTAACCGCACATTTTTCCGTAATTAAATATATTATTTAAAACTTTGTAATCATAAATATATCTTCACACAGAATCGCCAAATGAATGTAGAAACAACATAAAAAATTTATATTTTAAATATTTGTTTAATGCCATCATTTTTACTAAGTACTGTGAATGAAGGCAAGCATCACAGATACCACAACTAATACTGACACTGATGCCTCTGTTAAATGCATTTATTTTAATTTATTTATGGGGATAAAATGACTAAATATAGGCAATCAATAAGAAAAATCTGTGCCATTATTTTTTACTAATATTACAACTTTTCATTTAAGTGAACTATAAACAATCTTCACATGAACCCCTAATAATTAATTTTATTTAGTGCATTCATTTTACATTAAATAAGAAAATTACTAGGTAAAACATTTGGTATCAATATTTTTTATGCGAGGACGGATCCTCTCGATACAACAAATATTTATACTTATTTCCACAATTACACCTGCATGCTTTTATCACTGAGACAAGCACACTACTGACAGGATCAAACACAGACAGCCAGAATATACTGAATATACAAAATATACTTAAACATGCTGAATGTGGGAAAATATTAATTAGCATAGCTACTTCAAGAAAGAAAAAAAAGGATGTTATGTTAATTATTTTTTATGTGATATTAAAAATATTAATTGAAGATATATGCGATTTATTTTATATGACTATTATATATGTATAATTATATAGTATTACTAACTAATATTATTAAAGTGTAAACAGCCTCAAACACACGCACGCACACACAAAATGCAAACAAAACATAAAAAGCATTACATACAGTGTGAGACTCCAGCTCAGATATCTTCTCTGGTTGTCCATCTCCAAAGTAATAAACCCTAATGATGTGATCAGTGCTGCCTGTCGCGAGGAACATGCCACCTGAAATATCAT